TCACTATATGATTGTTTTTCATTCATTTTTGGTCATTCGACATTCAGAAACCTTTTACTGTTGCCAAATTCCTTGTAGCCTCCACATTCAATCACACAACTTCCTATGGGGTAGTGACCCACAGTTTTGCTCTAGAAAACCCTAAAACATACCTTCCTAAAACGTGTAGTTACTTGGATTGTTTTAAAGGTGACAGTACCAAGGTTTGCCTGGCTTTCAGCCCATTCAAGGCTGGTTTCTCCAATAGAGGCAGCACGTGTTATATCCAGACATGAAATGAATGTCATCAGGGGACCACTCCCCCCCACCCCACCCCGCCCCAGTGATGGAAGGCAGTGGGAAGAAGACTTGGGCAGAGAGTCATGGCCGGCTCAGTGACAGTGACCTTGACCTCTGGTCCAGGTGCAGAGAGAGTGAGAACGCACAGGCTCCGACGTGAGGCAGAACACAAGGCAAGAGACCCGGAAGAGTCACATTCTCAGATGGAGCTGTTTTATTTCCAAACATGATTCAAAACAGATAATGCTGGAATTTCCATATTAGAAATCCTTCATTTTATAAAATATATTTGCTCTAAAATACTTCATAAAATCTGCCTTCCCCTTTGTAGTGGAAAGGCAGCACAAAGTCCAAAGTGAAAAGGTCATGCATAAAGTGGTATACCCAAGAGGGCAATTACACAGTAGTTTAACTTCTTCACAAATAAATGCTAGAACATTAAAATTAACTTATACCACTGTATTTTGCAGCGCTTAACTTCGATGGTTTTTCTTCATATAGGTAATTTCATATTTCATAGACAGCAATGATTAAAACAAAAATTATCATTAGCTTTCTCTTAAAATGCAAAAACAAAACAAAGCTGTAACACTCCAAAAGAAAAACAAACCCAAAAAACAGTCAGTAGAGCATAAACTCTTTTATAAACAAACAGCATCTGAGAGAACAACACATTCACCCCAACCCTAAAGCATCTTTAACATCATAAACTCTGTTGGCTCCCCATAGACATTCTTAATCCTTGACATTTGGGTTGGTTTGTTGTGTCGTGTTGTTGTTGTTGTTGTTGTTAGATGCTGTTGAGTTTGCTCCAGGTCATGGTGACCTTGTGTTTAACAGAAGGAAATATTGCCCAGTTCTGTGCCTTCTTCATGGGCACTGGTACTGTGAGTCCAGTGTTGTGACTATGGGCTCACTTCAGCCCAATGACTTCCAGTTATCATTATTCCAGCAGCGTCTCGTGTTAGCACGGTCCAAAGTGGGTTACAATGTAAGTTAGTCCATACATTATTCACAGGATGAGAATTTCCAATTCAACTCAAGTATTTCATCAAAGCAGTGGTTGAGCCCACCCCCACTGTTTTCTCCTTCACTCCCTTTTCATTCAAGAGAGCCCGTCAGAGATCTGTGATATAATGACTACAGGATTGGACTCACAATGTGGGGAGGGAGATATCATTTCAAAGAACTTTGTCCATGTGTTGGTTCTCTCTGCTTTCTTTGAGGTAGATGACCCCAAAATGAAGTTCAAACTTTGGTTCCTTCGAAGTGTGACAAAAGAATAGTACTGTTTGCAGAGGATAGCTATCGCAGAATTAAAACGCCTGTTTTCTAGAAAGAAAAATCTGTGCTGATGGATGTGTCTGTATATAAAGAATAACAACCTACAAAAACAAAATGCACCATACGAGAGGCCAACACAATTTGCCCATCTGACAAAATGGCTTGGATGTTGTGGTTGCATGCTACCTCAATGATCAAGTAAGCCACCTCTGATTTTAGTGGGACGGAGAGAAAGGCCCCGAAGTAGTGTGTGTGCTGTCCGAGTGCCTTAGCAAGTGAAATGGATGGTGACCATTATTATCCACACACACAATCACACACTGTCCCATTTCTATCCAGTTAACTGCTCTCGGCTCACCCGGTACGGGAAACAGAAGCATGCACTTCTCATGTGTCATATCACTGCCGGAAGCGAGAAAATACCCATCCTTCCCAAGTGAGGAAAAGGGTCTCCCTCCTCTCCTTCCAGCTGCTGTGCTACTCTCCCCGGTCCCCCAAGGAGCATGGACTGGGGACAGAAGGAAGGGGGCAGGGAGCAGGGCAGAGGCTCAACTCCCCGATCTGAACTGGAGAATCTTCCTAGGGCTATGCCAAAGATACTCCCATGGGCAGCGAGGCCTTCGCATGGAGTAAACTTGGGCTGCTGGAACATCTAGATATGGTGAGAAGGAGAAATGAGGGGGTTAGGCACCAGGTGCCATTGCATGCCCTTTATCCAAGAGGTGATAAACCAGTATCCCCCAAATATAGAGAAGACTCATGAGCAGCTGGGTCTTGCCTAAGCTACTGAACGACACACTTCCATGACTTTATCAGACTGATGATTTTCATTGATATATACTTATAAACATCGAACTATGTAGGCTTCACGGTTACTAGTATTGATAGCTATTTTATCTCTTTCCATAAAACTGTATGTGACTATAACTCTAAGGGAGTTGTTTTAGCTTTAAAATAGTTCTTCAAAAATATCATTATTTGTGATGTTCACTGCAGACCTTATTATGAAGGATCCTACATCTGGCTGCATGTATGAACATTAAATAACTTAAAAAAATAAACAGCACATTATATATTCCAAAATAGCCCCATTTTAAAGCCAGCTAAGTGAAAAAAGGGAGAATTTTCAAGAACAGACTAGACCATCTAAAGATTTTCCCCCCCCGTAATTTTAAAATATATTAATGCTTTCTATTTTCTAACTATGCCGAATATATACACACACCACTTTTGGTCATTTATGTCAGGCATATTCCTTATGACCAGTAGGCTGTTCCCTTTGCCTGCTGTTGACTTGTTCTCAAGCATGGGCAGTCAGTCCCCTGGTTAAGAACTCCCGTTTGAAGGTGAATTCAGAACAGGTGCATATGGTTCTTTCAAACCTTTCTTTAGTGAAAGAACAGGAAACAGAAGAGGCTTTCTACTCCCATAAAGAGCTATAGTCTCAGAAAGCCACAGGTGCAGTTCTACCCTGACCTGCTGGGTCGCCACGAGTCAGAATCGACCCGACAGTAGTGGGGGTTTGTGAAAGAAAAGGCTTAATTAAAAGCTGCACCGTGAAGCAAGTAAAGATGACTGGGATGAAGGATTTTTTGAGAGTAGAGATTTATCCAAAGTGAGGGCAGATTTACATACCATTAAAGGGCAAGTGGGTTTGTCTGTAAGTTGGAAGTCTGGCTGTAAGAAATGTATCCTAAGTGTAAATGAATTTACTCCCAGAAGGTCTCCCCTTGGAGATAAGCTCACCAAAAAGCAAAAAAAAAAAAAAAAGAAGAAAAAAAAATGATGTGCAAGTAGTCATTGTATGCAACCTCGCATTTTCTCATGATAGTGGTGGGAACTCACGTTCAAGTGTTGCCATAGTCCCACTTACAGGCAGGTGTCTTAGAACGTGATGTCAGAGGAAAGAAGTCCTCTGAGAAACTCCGCCTCATGAGAAAGCCTTGGCCAATAGAAAGAGAAGCCACCATCTGCGAGAAATGGAGGGTCGTTAGACCCAGCCGTGACCTTAAAGTGCACACCCTGAACCCTGCTCTGACACCAAAGTAAATTCTATCAAATGGCAAAGAGACCACATTTTAAAAACAAAGCACCTCTTTAAAAGTCACTGTGTTATCGATCGCTGGAAGAACTTCCTCTGCACTTAAGCTCAGGTAAAAGACTGAGAAGTGGCAGAAGAATTTCTTCTGGAAACGAAGAAGAAGAAGAAGAAGAGGCATCATCTAACAAAGTCAGGACCCAAAGCTTATGTCCAGCTCTGGCTCTGCTTTCTGCAACTGCATGAGTTCAGCTAACGCAACTGTAACAGAAAGATTGGCCCACTTTGGGACTAGGGTCAGATGTGTTTCCCTTAAGTTAATCAAGTTCATTAAACCCAAACGAAGCACAATTATCTGAATGTCTCCGGGACTAGAGAGTCTAGACGTCACAAGTAATGGAGAAGTCAGTCAACTGAAAGTGCGTGTGTCCGTCCAAAGCAAGTGTGGGAGGTCAAGAGGCGCTCGAGCCTTCTAGAAGTGGCTCGCCTTTACAGATTGTCATCCAGCCACTTGATGTAACTGTTCCTAGTCCGGATTCCCACGGAGAAGTTAGTGGGCCACCTGGTGAAGATCATGCAGCCGTGGAAGCCATCCTCAAAGTGGTCCAGGGTCACCTGCACCCCTGCGTTCTCCAAACGCTTTGCGTACATGATGCCATCGTCCCTCAGGACGTCATACTCACAGGTGAGAATGTAGGTCTTCGGGAGGTGCTGGAGGGCCTCCTGGTCTGCAATGAGCGGGGCAGAACGGGCATCCAGCAGCTGGGGGAGCTCCTGGACAATCTTGGCGTTGCCCGCAGTGTGCACGACAGGCTTGTAGTTCTTTGTGATAGATGGTGGCAAGAGGAAGGTCCAGTTTAGACGGGCCCTCAGGGCAACAGCCCCTTCCACGTCCAGTGAGGTGTGATTGTTCACGATCATGGCCTGGACAAAGTTATAGTTGCCTTTGAAGTAATCCACCCAATACTTCACCATGACATGGCGGGGCAGGATCGGCGTGTTCCAGTTCTGCTGATAAGAGGGTGTGTTAAAATCTAAGGCTTGAAGAACCGGGTAAATTAAAGCTTGCAGTTTGAACTTGCTTCGTAGGTTGAGGTCCTGACTGAACTGGAGAAGAGAAAGCACACAAATGGTTCGTTTTGCACGACTGGTTTTCCCTAACCACCCCGACGCTGCCACTTCCTGGGTTTCTCTGAATCGGTCCAGGGCATCGGTCATCTTAAGTTTCCACTGAGCATGGCATTTGCTAAGAGGAGGGACTTCAAAAATGCCAAGGAAAAAATGAAATGGAAAGATAAAGGAATTTTCCTGTGAGCCTTTTGAAGCCCTTTCATGTTGTTCTACAGATAAATGAGTCCCACCCCCTCACCAACCAAGAAAGGTATGATATTTGCAACCACAGTTTTCTGTGACCCTTCGAGGGGGACACATGGCCTCTTGGGTCTAAGTTCCATGCACAGGCCTAAGGAGAGAGGAGGGCTTGGAAGCTGTGAGCTCTCTCTCTCTCTTTTTTTTTTCCCCCCAGTGGCTGATTTTTATTTTTTTAAATGATTTTATTAGGGGCTCATACAACTCTTATCACAATACATACACACATCAATTGTGTAAAGCACATTTGTACATTCATTGCCCTCATCATTCTCAAAACATTTTCTCTCCACTTAACCCCCCGGCATTGGGTCCTCATTTTTCCCCTCCCTCCCCGCTCCCCCCTCCCTCATGAGCCCTTGATAGTTTATAAATTGTTATTTTGTCATGTCTTGCCCTGTCCGACGTCTCCCTTCACCCACTTTTCTGTTGTCTGTCCGCCAGGGAGGAGGTCACATATAGTTCCTTGTAATCAGTTCCCTCTTTCGTACCCACTTTCCCTTTACCCTCCCTGTTTTGCCACTCACACCACTGGTCCTGTAGGGCTCATCCATCCTGGATTCCCTGCATTTTCAGTTCCTATCTGTACCAGTGTACATCCTCTGTCTAGCCAGACTTGCAAGGTCGAATTCGAGTCATGGTAGTGGAGCGGGGAGGAAACATTTAGGAACTAGAGGAAAGTTGTATTTTTCATTGTTGTTAGTTACCACATCGCACCCTGACTGGCTCATCTCCTCCCCGAGAGCCCTCTGCAAGGGGATCACTGTCAGCTCTCTTAAGACTGGTTCTAGCCGGTGTTTCTGTGAAGCCTCAGAGATGCCACCTCTCCTCCTACACAGACTAATCTTCCCAGAGATTTCTGAGAGTTCTCCCTGTGTCGTCCTGTGAATCATCTGGCCACCTAGTGACCAGCTCATGCTGGTGTCACCATGATGGGGAAGGCTTGGGATGAGCTCATACACGGCTCCCTCATAAGCATCCCAAACAGGAGGTTACCTGTTGCCCCAGAGCAGCGGCCAAGTTCCCACCAGCACTGTCGCCAGAAATGCCAATTCTGTCTGGGTCAACGGAATACTTCTGTAAGACCTCAGGCTGCAGGAAATGCTTCGTGGCACGTGCAACATCATGGATTTGCTCGGGAAAATAGACCTTTGGAACTAGCCTGTACCTGTGAAGACAAAAGTTGCATTCATTGACGGACTTCGGCATGTCTTACAGGTCATGGAACACATAAATCTTGAGCGAAAATGGATTCTTCTGAAGACAGAAATAAGCATAAAAACAGACCATTTATTTCCTGGCTACTGAGCTACTTAGTTCCAAGTGTATTCTTTTTTTTTTTTAGCTAGAGTCTTGAAAAACAAAACAAAGACAACATCAATCACAGAACAAAACACACAAACATGCAAAAACTGTTAAAAAAAATTACTTTAAAAAAACCCCTTCAATGCTAAAGGCCGATGTTGGTTATTAAGATTTGGCTACAACTACGGTATGTTGTAGAATTTTATTTCTGGAACTCTTTGTTCCGTTCACCACACCTCTTGGTTAGAGGGTGACCCGGCTGGCTTATCCAATGTTTAATGCATCCGTGTGGCATCTTTGATAACTGTGCAGTCAAACCACTCCACACAAGTCCACGCCAGTCTAACAGGAAACCCACGCAATGCACCTTCATTGGAAGACGGCACACAAAGACCCGTTTTAACCAGCGCAGAAAAGCCTGTGTCCAAGCCCTGCCGGCTCTCATGCTCTGGGGCTCCTCCTACTGCCCCAGTCTGCAGGACCAGCATCCCTGAGGGCTAGTAGCATTCATCTTCCGTTTCAAGCCCCAAAGAACCCTGATTTTCTCAAGGACTCTGTCCACAAGGCTACCCTACCTCTCCACTTCTTCTCCAGCCTCCTCCCTTGCTTATTATTTAATTCTCACTCTCATCCTCTAACCTGGGCCAACCTCATACTTCTGTAAGGTGTCCGGTTGCAGGAAATACTTCATGGCCTGTACAACATTGTGGATTTTTTTCAGGGGGAAAAAATCCCTTGCAACTAGCCTGTGTCTCTGAATTGCCCTGGAAGCCCTTCGTGTCTGTAACGTCATCTCCATGCTCTGTAACGTCATCTCCATGCTCTGTAACGTCATCTCCATGCTGGGGTTTAGCTGGCTTGATCCATGACCCTTCGTTGTGTTGGGGATACCTGCCTGCACATACTGCCTCACGTGAAAATGGTATCATCATGTTCATCTAAGGACTCTACTCGCTGACAGCAGGGACCTCGTCGTGGTCACTACTGTGTTCCCAGTATCCACCAATGTTTGGGCACATTAGCATGCATTTCAGGAGCCCTGGCAACGCAGTGGTTACAAGTTGGGCTGTGAACCTCAAGGTCAACAGTTTGAAACCATCAGAGAAAGACAAGGCTTTCTATTCCCGTCAAGAATCACAGTCTGGGAACTCAAAAAGGCAGTTCCACCTCATCCCACAAGGTCGCTGTACTTGATGCACTGAGTTTGGATCATCCATCACACAGGAGGACTCTTCACCGGGCATTAGCACACCTTTGTTTTGCAAATGAAGAAGCTGGAGGCACAGAAACGTGAACGGATTGTAGCAGAAGTCATAACTTGTCAAGGTAAAGTACGATAGAAATGAAGTTTACTTAATGAGAACTCTGATGACTCTGGTTCTTTTCCTGCCATTTGCATATTTATTCCCGGAAGCCATTATTCCTAGGCCGATCTACATAAGCTAAGCCCCAAACCCACTACCACTCATTAGATTTGACTCACAGTGACCCTCCTTGGGCTTTCTGGAACTGTAAATCTTTATGGGAGCCTCTAGCCTCATCTTTCTCCTGGAGAGCAGCTGGTAGTTTTGAACCACCAATGGTTCAATATCGATTGAAGAATGCTGTGGTTAGTCACTTGGTGCTTAACCCGCTGTGCCACCATAGCTCCTTATTCCAGTCTACTCCTTTTAACTCCCCCATCTAAAATCCAGCTAAGTAAACATCTTGGCATGCTGTGTACAATCAAATGAACATTTATTAGCAGTCATTCAGGAATTCTTAGTTCAAACATCTAAGTGCATTAAGAAAGTCCATGAGTGGTTAACTTATAGGATAAAACAAACTTCCTCATGTATAATTTTCCCAGCTGTGGTGATCGATTAATCACCCCACGTGCAATTTTTCTTCAATCGATTTCCACTGTCTTAGAGCTGCTGCATCCGTTCAAGGATGAAAGAAGCAGGGCTGCATTTTGTCCACCAGGTGGAAGCATCGCACAGGATCTCCTTCCCCCCAGTTCCTGGACCAGGCCTTGTTTTCAACGTTTGTGTTTTAACTTCACTTATAACCAGTTGAATTCCCAGTCCTCTCAAGGAATTGAAAAGCAGTGCACTTCACCACTCAAGCTGTGAAAATACAAGCTATTTCTGTGAAAATACAAGTGATTTCCTTTTATCAAAGCAATAGCCTCACATATCACCAACCGTATCCCCTGGTTACCTAAGAAGCCAGACAGAGACCCACTTGCACACACGGAGAATGAAATTAAGTTTTCAGGCGCTTTTCCTGAAAAGGTAACCGTGACATTGAACCAAAGGAAATTGGTCATCTCAAAGTACGGCTGCCTGCCTGGAATCTCACCTATGAGCAGTGTATGCATGCTAAAAAACAGATGACAGTGTACGCACGCTGAAAAACACACGGGTTATGAGGCGTGTGCTCCTGGCCTCCTTGACTAGACATCTTGCCCCACCTCTTTCTTTCCCCGTTCAAGGCACACCCCAGCTTTGTTCCTAGTGGGGCAGGGGACACACTTAACCCTTGTAGACTGGAGAACATATAAAACTAGATCTTTCTCAGATCGCTTGGTAAAAGATAAATGGTGGGAGTCACTGGCAACTGACCGGAGGTTTATCATATAAGCTGGAGGATTCTTGATGGACGTGGAAGACGGGGTGTCAGAAGGACCAACCCCCTGGATGGCCCAGCCAAAGAAAGAAAAATACATTCACTACCCAGTGCTTGCATTCACAGATAGATTCCGACCACACGCTGGAAGGGGACTGTGACGGTATTCCTACGTTTACAACTGTGGATCTGGAGACGAGGCCGTCGTGTGAAATAGAGTTTGAATGGGTACCCGAGTTGGGCTGCTAACCGAAAGGTACGCAGTTTAAAACCACTAGTCCTTGGGAGAAAGACGACGCTTCCGCTCCCGAAAAGAGTTACATTCTCAGAAACTCACCCGGGCAGTTCTACCCTGTCCTGGAGAGTCACTATGAGTGGGCATCGACTCACCGGCAGCGAGTTTGTGTTTTGTCTTTTACTTTGGGCTTCACTGTCAGTAGAGAAGGCGCTGCAAAGCCAACTGGACGACCGACCTCTGTTTATTACTGCGCATACCCAAAGCAAAGTCACTGCCATGAAGTCAGTTCTGACGCATGGCAACCCTAGTCGACGGAGTAGAGCTACTCCTGCAGGTTTCTGAGACTGGAACTGTCGACCAAAGTAGAAGCCTCATCTTTCTCCCAAAGAGCAGCTGATGGCTTCGAACTGCTGACCTCGTGGTTCGCCGTCCAATGTGGAACTACTCCACTGTGCTTAACTCACACACCAAGCTCGCTGCGTGGAGTCAATGCTGTCTCCTCGCAACCCCGCTGTGGGTTTCTGAGACTGTTTCCAGGCGTAGAGAGGCCGTCTGGTGTGTCTCCCGCAGAGCCGCTGGTGGTTCCAAACTGCCGACCGTGCCGATCGTAGTCCAACGAGTCACCACAACATGACCGGGGACCCTTTACTGTACGCATACCGCCTCATAAAAACATTGTTTTATACCTGCTGCTTTCAAGTCAATTCCAGCTCAGGGAATTGCCCCTTTGCTTTCCCAGGCCGTAATCCTTTACAGAAACCGACTGCTTCATCTTCCTCCTAGGAGCAGCGGGTGGGTCTGAACCGCCTTTCAGTCAGCGGCTGAATGGGCCCCGCACCGACTACAAGAACACCAGGTGCTGTGGCCTCAGCATGGCATTTCGTTAGGCACGTGAACGTGCATGCCCAGACATCTGGCCAGGTGTTCTACCAGCGTACTTCACTCAGATCTTGGTTTGAGTTGCATGTGAGCCTTAGGGAGGAGGACACACAGCTCAAGGTGGACCCAAAACGTGTCCGTAATCATAGCCGGGAAGAGGCTGAGCTGGAAACTGAATTCACAACTGCCACAACTCAGCCTTAGATAACTAAACACTCATGTATGAGGGAGGGGGTGGGGCGGCGGGGGGAGTGTTTCAAAGGGTTTGCAGAAAACATGGAATTAATAAATAATGGAATATTTCCACGAGCTTTTTGAAGACCTCTCGTATAAACATACATGCACTTAGCACCAAATCAGGCAACTGCAAATATATCAGTGTCCCATAGGTAATGTGTGTGTGTGTGTGTATGTATGTGCGCACGCATGCCCACACACATGCACACCTTTAAAGGAAAGCAGCTCTCCTTTTATTATCTCCCCCCAAAGTTTGTAAGAGAAACCCCGGCGGTGTAGTGGCTATGGGTTGGGCTGCAATCCGCATGGCTGGCAGTTCAAGAACCCCAGCAGCTCTGCAGGAGAAAGACTGGGTTTTCTACTCCCTTAACGTTATAGTCTCAGAAACCCACAGGGAGTCGCTATGAGTCAGCATCGACTCCATGGCTGTGAGTTTGGTTTATGAAGATTGTAAAGACCTCAAACCTCCAGAGTCAACGAGCAGCAGGACTCCGGGGCGCATCCCCAAACTGTGATCTTCCTCCTTCGCCCACCGCCCCTGCAGTCTTCCACTCCAGCAGGGGAGCTGGGCCCAGAGTGCTTGCGGGCTACAGCTACAGGTGGGAGACACTGCACTTGATCCGGAAGTGACTGAATCGTAACCAGCACACCTGGTCCTCAAATCCACCTCTCTGAGTCCTCCTGTAACCCTTTCCCTGCACTGACATAGTGCACAGCCCAGCCATACACCCAGCCAGGCCAGCCCTCCCGGGTCCAGCGGATACGGCTCATGGGCTTTAAGATGTTAATAGTACGACTTTACAGGGATTGAACTATGGATTGTGCTGGGACTACCTGTATATGATATGGTGTTCATACAACATCCAAATCTTGTAATGACCCATTTCACAGAACGCGTC